TGACACAGCAGGGTGGTCAGCAGGCAAGCCCTGGGTGGTCGACATCTTCTCTTCGGTCGTCATCTTATCAAGACGTTCGATCGTCTCCTTGACCTCCTCTTTGCTCTGGATGAACTCATCGGGTAGCTCCTGCTCCTCGGGCGCCTTGATGCCAGCCTGAGCTTCGTCAAGGGCGTCTGCCGGTGACATGTTCTTGGGCTTCTCTTCCTTCTTCACGACGCCGTCAGGCGCGATCTGCCTGAACATGTCCATCGGGTCGAACCAGGTACGAACGGACTGTAGCTGCACCTTGTCATTGACAGTCGCGACCGTAACACCTTGGATGTCGATTGAGCCTCCGTGTGCTTTGGCTGTGACCTTCTCGCCCTTGTTGTTGAAGCCGACGTAGTCGTTCTTCATTTGACCCCAGTGGCGCCATCGGAAGCTGACCGTTGGTGGGCCGCTGTAGACTTCTAGTACCTCCCATGCGAAGGTAGGCATCATGCGCTTGAACGTCTTGTGTGACGAGGCAAAGTCGGAGTAGTCGGGCGAGTAGTACTCGTTCGGCGCAATGATAGCATTATATGTGCCGACCTTGAGCATAGCCTCTGCACCTTCAGCCTTGCCGCCATTGATAGCGAATGAGTAGTTTTCCCGATCGATCGTACGCCAGTCGTCGATGTTGGGCTTGAAGGACGCTTCGACTTCCCAGTTCTTGACGAGATTCTGTACGAGTTCAGGAAGAGACCCGGCTTCGTGTGTCATTTGCTTTGCTGTGCATGATTAGTAAACTGCACTGTGTCTGACATGCAGGCTCATTGCCACATCTGGTAACTTACTCTCAGCGAACACCTTTCTGGTTTTTGAGTAATCAGGCGCTCTGCCGTATCGCCACTTGGCATCATTGTCCCCGAGAACAGCATCAGGGTTTGTGAGGTAGTCAGGTAGTGCGGGTGCAGCTTCCTGCGCAGGTGGTTGCTGAACGTCTGCGCTCGCCATTGTGGACAGTGAGTATGTGATGGAGTAACTTGGATAAAAAGAATGTACAGATTTGGGAAGACTAGTACTGAGGACGCGCGACTATGCCTGGTATCAACCTGATGTGGCAAAGTGTTATGAGTTTTGAAGTGGTACAAATATGCTGTCAAACCGAGGAAAGACACTCATGCTTTATATGTTGGGTGTAGTCAGTAAGCAGGGTAATACCCACACCAGTCGACGCCAGTCAACAATGGCTTGATGACCCTGCAGCCGTGATACACAGCCTCTATCCAGTAGTTTGCGGGCGGAAAGGGTAGAAACCTCCGCAAGGGGATGCTGAAGCGCCTGGGCGAACTTTCCCACCGTGAAGCACACTGGAGAGGCAAAGTGATGTGGGGTGCCAGCCGTCAAACAGATAGCCGGGACGAGACGGGGCAAGAACTGCCTGGGCCTAAGGGTCTAGTCCGTTAGACGAGTACGCCTAGATGCATACACGGTCAGGTTGTACCATGTCGGAATTCCCGTTATATTCATCTGAACTCAGGTCGCACAAGTTGTTAGCTTTGTGAGACTGTTACATCGCGGAGACTCCATCTCGAGGCTCTTACTGCATTCCTGTCCGCTGTATTTGCTTCTCTTTGAGGTCGCAATATTGCATTTGCCGTCGCGCTGTTCCTCGCCGTTGCAGCGCTGTAGCGGCACGCTTAGCGCGATCACATAAGGGCCCAGGGTGAAACAGCGGAAGACGTGCCGAGCGGGAGATCGCTTGGGGCGTAACTCCGAGGAGGCAACATATAGTTCGCTTGTTTGAAGTTATCCAGATCCACGTTCGAGACTCTGGTTCCGCGATGCAGTGATATTGCCAAGCAGGCAAGGCGGCCAAGGTGGAGAGGTTGAAGCAATAGTGTTGTCGTGAAGGAGCATCAAATCTAGCCTTGGGTAAATGCCATGAGCAAATTTCGCAGCGGTATTCGGGCTCCATCCACTAGCCATGTTCAACCAGCAAAGTCCCTGACAATTGAGTAGGCCGAACACGCGGAGATCCCGAGGTCAGGCTAGTGATGCCCCGTACGGCTTGTTGCGTCTCAGGATAATTGCAAACTTTGGTACAGAGCTGATCTTCTCATTGTAGTGCCTCTTGCAAGGTTGCTGGTGACGGCTCCAAGACACCGATCAGGTCTCGTTGAAGGTACCAGATACCGGGAATAACTACCTGTAACACGAGCACGAGGTACACCGAGTTTCTCTCGTGTCAGACAAGATGGTTGAGAGCGCATCGGCAGAAGCAATCCTGGGCGCCCTCGAACACGGCGGATGAAATCAAACTGTGGCGCTTTTGTGGCGGTTATGCTGGGTGCTAAACGTTAGCTGCAGCGACAGAGAAGCCCGCCAGCCGTCTCGTCAGATCTAGCCGATCCTCGATATTGCTCATCCACATGGGGGGAACTCCGATTCTTCGTGCGAGCTGCTCAACATTTGCGGCGATGGAAATTTGGCGCGCTGGTGAAGATGCGAGGCGCAGACAACACAGGCCTTGTCTCCAGGAGGCTCATCGTTAGCGCAATGACATCATCCTGACATTCACGGGCCTTGCGACTGTAGCGTTTCACGCGTCCGCAACGCTGCTTCCTGTGTACTCTACCAACAACAACCGCGACAAAATTGAAGTTCAACATGGGACGTCGAGACCGTCTCATCAGCGCGTCTATATTACGCGCCATCTTCAGATCAGATTCCCCTCGTAAGGATGAGAGCGAGCGCTTAGGTCTATTCGCGCGCATCTATGCCTTCTTCGCTGTCTTCAGTCTGACTCTCGCTCGTTATCGCGCATCTCTGTTCAAGAAACTGAGGAATGACACATGGGAGATTGAAGAGGAAGGGTACATCGAGAGCTTCCGCCCAAGCAAGAGCAAACGGACCGATCTGATCGCCATTGGGGACCTGGGCTATTCAGGCTCGGTACGCGCGGAACATCGCATCTGAGGACGACAGGCTAATGCGCATCAGACATTCTTCACGACACCTAATTCTAAGTACCTGATCAAGTCCCTGCCGCGCAGGTTTGAGCAATCCTTCTTCCGTGATCGCCTCCTCGAGCCCTATGTCGAACACATGGAGCTGAACGAGGACTCCCTCCTCGTCCGCATAACCGACCTCCTCTACTGTCCTACAGCTACCGTCGGAGCCGCTGTAGGCACCGCGCCGAGCCATCATATAATAATGGAGAACATTCTGTACGGGAAGTCGAGCTGCAGCAAGGCCCAACAGAAGCGATGGGAGACATATGACCTCAAGCCCAATGACTACTTCTACCCAGAACGTGACGTGGCTAACGGGCGCCTGACCCCCGAGAGCGTCAAGGAGCGCCTCATTGATGAATTCGAAGACAAGATCAGAGTGACTATCGATCAGAAAGAGGAGCTTGTTGCGCAGCTATCCAGGGATTCTAAGATCTTACAAGGCAATAATGCGGTAGACTACTCGCTATTCCTCGTCCGCTATCCCGCCGACCTGAACTCTGGTGATGTGCCGCCGCCCCCTGGTCGAGGATCTACATGGCGCACAGGTGTCGTATCGCGCGACGGCAAGTGGGTTTACCGGGCCATCGTACTCGACTTCTTCTGGGCGAAAGACGCACTCCAGGCCCAGACGATGACGGGACTCGTCAAACTCTTCAACACGTTAAAGTTTGGGAAAGATCATGGCCCGATGAGCATTACGACGACGAGCGATGAGTATAGACAAAGATTCCTGGGAATGGTCGAGGACATGGTCGAGGTACCAGACAGCGCTGGCAGACCAGCAGGGGAAATACGCAGCCCTGCATCGGTAGCTGCTGATCAAGTGTAGTCGAGCGGCCCACGATGACTGAACGATCTTCATCTCATTCTCTTCGTTGTCGGTCTGGCGTTGGGTTACTCCGGAGTAGTAGGATGCATAAGATACCCGGTCCATGCGCATGCAGTTGGACGCTCAAATTCTAATCACATTCCTCATGAAATCGGTACGAGTGCGCGTAGAAAGCCATGGTTGTGTAACCCATGTCATGATGGCGGTGAAGCACAAGAGTCCAAACGTGGCGTCATCGCACATAGCCCCAACCCTCCGAGTGGTCGATGTCACGAAGCCGACGAGCCTTGCCAACGCACAGCAATGTCACGATAGGCTGCACCCTGGTCATTCCTGGTAGATACCCTGCGTTGTAAGGAGTTGCGACCCGGTTTTGGGCAAGGGGATTCGAATGTGTATTCCGAGTGCTCTTGGCCCACCGCCCCATAGGAGGCCAGACCCTATGTAGGATTACTCGCGGAGAGTAGGTGTAATGCCGACCGTGCGTCCCTTGCATTGAACATGATCTCCGAAGGCCACAGTAGATGTTCTTCGTGCTGTTGCTGCTGCGTCCATGGGAAGAGTGAAGAGCAGGAAAAAGGCGCATTGATGACACGGACATGTGCATGAATGACTGCAAGATCACCGTTGATCGAGGTGCTTTTTGCATCGTAGGATTCATCTACCAGAGAGGCTGAGGAAGCGACGATCCCCAGGTTGCGGCTCCAATGACAGCGGCGCACGAGCCAGGCGGATGACGTACGACGTCATTTTGGCAGTTTGTAGGAGGCGGCTGCCACGGCGTCGCACGTATGCGCCGAATCAGCTATATCATCGTCTTTAAGCGCAGCTACCCAATTGCCATATCTAATTGCTTCTTGCCGCCATCCGTCGAGGTCACTTGCCGCGGCGCATCCTGTAATCCTTTACCTCGCCTACACCCCCGCGCACTTTCTTCAAGACAAATTCTCTGCCAACCCACCTCACCCTCTTCAGGTACCATCTACATCGCTTATACACACCAGAACGCGCGCTGAGTAGTCCGGCCTATCGCTATCCGGCCTTGCTGCAGACTATCCTCCCAACCTTTGGAACTAGGCCCCCTCGTCGAATCGCTGGGACCGGTCGACTGCGCTCCAATCACAGCGCTGCTCGCAAGACAGTCCTACGTCACATCACGACATCCGGCTTTCGCGGCCCCCATCTGAAGCATGGCGGCCCTAGCCTTCAAGGCCATCAGCTACGGCGCAGAGCAGATTCCCGACAGCTTCTTCCACAAGTTACCCGGCGGCTACTTTGCACCCCCAGACTCCAAAGAGGGCAAGAAGAGAGGCAAGCACCTGAACCGCAACGAACGAGACGCAAGACAACGGCACCGGAGCGAAGACCGGTCCAGTAAGCGCAGCTCCCGGCAAGAGCGCAGCCCGCCGACAGAGTACTCTGACTACACCGACGACACCGACTACGAGCGCGAACGCGAGCGCCGAAAGAGGGAGCGACGACGCGCAAAGAGCACGGGAACCACTGCTAGTAGGAGTCTGAGTCGCGGACGCCACGGGAGACACAGCAGCGACCTGGACGGGCAGCACAGCGATTCACGAGACATGGCCTCACCTCAGCAGGGACAGCCTTACTTCCCTCCTCCGCCCACTTCCGAATACAAGCCCTATAATCCGCAGGAATATGCACCGAGCCCCGTGCAGGACCGCCGCCCTTCTGTCACTCCAGCCTACGGATACTCTCCTCAGGTAAATAATTTTTCCTCTTTTCGACGCGCCACACTTGCGACCATGCCCGAGCATCCAACACCGGCGAACTCTTGTCCGCCCATGTTGCGAAGCCGGACCACGTCAGCGACTTCCAGCCCTTTTTCCTTTCAGCCTCATTTACTTCGCACGCTTTCTCGTGGTTCCCCCGTTTCTGCTGCTTTCACTCCGTCATACGAGCCGCCTCTCGCGGCCTTGCTCCAGCGCCCACTCACTAACACTCCGAAGCCACCACCTACAGAGCCGCGCAATGTCTCGTTAGATTATGGCCAGTACGATGCGCCCCGAAGCTCTAGATACGCTCCCGGCCCCGGCTACGCTCCTTCGCCTGCCGTAGATGCGCCTATCCCTCCTCCGCCAGTGGGATCAAACTCCCCTATGAACCCTTACCACCACACCGAGTTCCCTGCGAGCGGCGCTGGCTACCAGCCATCTCCCCCGCCCTTCAACCGTCAGCGCTCCAACTCTCAGCCTACTTTCGCGCCTGTGCCCAGCGCAGTCTACCCGACCTACGTGCCCCCATCTGCTGAACAGTCGATGGCCGCATACACCGACACTCGCTCCTCCCGCCGTGAGAGTACCAAGCCTCGTCGCGAACATCGCCACAGGGCTAGGTCCGTTGACTCTCAGTCCCATCACTCCCGCTCTAGCAAAGATTCCCGTCGTGATGATTCACGCATGACTAAAATGCGTGATAGATTTGACGGCATGGATCTGCGCGAAAAGAGTTTGGCGGCTTCGGTGGGAGGTGCGTTGGCGGGAGGACTCGCGGGCAGGTCCTTGGGTAAAAGTAGGCTGACCACACTGGCAGGAGCAGCTGCGGGTGCGTTGGGTGCCAGGCAGATGGCGACACGCTCGAGGTGAGTATTGCGCACACACTTGACTGGTCTTCGTTCTAATTCCATCACAGAAGCGGAAGCGACCGCCACTCCAAGTCCCGCTCTCGCTCCCGATCACGGACGCGTGCGCATGACCGCGAACGCAGCAAAGGCCCCAGCCTCCGTGCTAGAAGCCGCAGCGTGATAGACCGCCTCCGTTCCAAGTCGCGTGGACACGACGATCGCGACGCGCGAAAGGATGACAGGCGCGATCGCGATCGCCGTCCAGATCACGGATACGACTATGGTCGCGATGATTACGACTACTTCAGCAGCGATTCTGAGGGTGATGGCAGCCCTGTGAAAACGAGGCGCCATCGCAGGAGGGACTATTAGAGTCTAAACAAGGACCGTGGGTAAGCGTAGACGTCCCTACGAGTGTATTATTATATTTCCTCTGCTTTTCGAGCTTCTTGCGTTCCATCTGTGTTTGGTTTTGACTGCGATTTTGAATCATGTATGGATACGAGACGACATTTACGATTTACGACACTGATGAAGGATACGATGAAGATCAGGGATGTGGTCAGGGACGATGAGCTTTTGTTTGTTTACATCGCGAGTCATACGCGTCAACCTTGGTAGCTTGTTTGTTTACATCAACCAGTCGTTACTTCAATGGACAGATGTAGAGATGTGAATGTGCTGCTTTGAAATGTTGCCTGTACCCCCTAATGCGAACCACCGATCTAAATTTTATAAACCAAAAACGCCCTCAAATGCTCAATGTGCTGTCAAATCATGGTATCATGCCAAAATACTTGTCCCAAACGATCCAACCCATTCACCTATCCTTCGTAAACACACCCATCCATCAGCACGGAAACGGAATCAAATTCACGACTCCCGCCTCGGCAACCTCACTCCCCACACCCACCTCCTGCAACGCGGCTTTGAACCTAATCTCCGTCCTAGCTGCCAGTACCTGTCCCGCCAATTCGACCAAGCTCTGTCCGCACAACCTCTCCCTTCCCACCACGAAATCAAAGTAGCTCTCCGGAAAGTCAAAGTGCAAAGTGATGTCCCTGACGAGTAAATCCTTCATCGCCTTCTTGAACAGCGTGTTACTATCCGCCATGTAAAATCCCGTAAGCAGTTTTTGAACTTGCAATCTCTCAGTATCGGCCTTGAACTTGTCGCTAAGAGCATGAGCGTCCTGGCCTGTGGTACTTCCAACGTAGCGGCGCGTGTCTGCGCAGATTTTCAAGCTGAGCAGACTGGGCGAGACGGTGCTGAGGAGGTAGGATAAGCTGGTAGTGTAGCGGTCTGCGCCAGTGCAAACGGGTTTCCAGATTCCGTCGCGCGAGTCTAGGGATGTGGTCATGGAGGTAGGGTAGTAGAGGAGGTCGACTTCGAGATGGCGGACTAGGGGGAGGTCGGTGAGTTGGAGAGGGGGTTCAAAGGCGCCGGATCCTTCTTCTTCTTGTTGTTGGTCGTCGATGGCATCTTTGCTGGACGGAGTGGGTGGTATGGATGTGATGTAGAAGGTGTTTTTGCCGAAGAATACTGAGCGGGCTTCGTGATGTATTTGTTTGTTTGTTCGGAGGATGGCTGTGTGGAGGTCGTATTTTGTGTCTTGACGGGCGACGGAGCCTTTGATGGATGATGGAGCGACGAGAAGGTGTGTGTAGATGTGTAGACGGAGCTCTGGAGGAAGGATATCCAGGAACGGTGAGCGTGTTGTTTTCGCCATGATGGTTGACGTCTTCAAGGAATTGACTTTATCCGTCAACTTATAGTTACTCGACTCGACTGATTAGTTGGCGACAGGAAGGATATGGGCCGATATGTCGTATCGAGAAATGAGGCTCAGATCCTTAGCAAGGCCAGCCCTATGGATCGTGAGAGAGTCGGAATAGTAGAGTGAGCAGCTTTCCACAACATCAACATCAGCCACAGCAGCGCACACCCCCGGTCTTTATTCTCGGAGACGGCATCAAGTGACCCATTCCGCAATCGTCATCCTGTTGCAAGCCCATGAATTCATTACACTTGACTCGCTCCACCTAGCTATCTAGGAAGCCGTGTAGCCAGGAACCCCTTCACTGGCAACGGCCTTAGGAGACCCTTAGCAAGAAAAACGTCCATGCGCTCACGATGCAGACTTCCAAATACTCCTAGCTCTGCCGTCCAAAGACGCGATTGACGTGCAGATCATCGATGTTCGCAAGGATCATGTGGAAGGACTGAGGCGTTCGGCTGCAGACATCCTTGCGCCCAATGTACCGGTGTAGAAGGTGATGAAACTATGGTAGGTGCTCAAGGCGGTTCGGCAAGGCTCCGGAGGGCATGTCGAGCGGCTGGCTAGCAGGCACGAAGCAGACGCCCCGATATGTCAGGGAGAAAGTCCGGTAGCGCGGCCATGGTGTGTTTCTAGAAACATTGAAAAGAAGGTTTATTCGATTGAGAACAGACGTCCAAGAAGCGTAGTCTCGCATGTCGGAAGCGCTAGGTTTCCAAGTCTTGTTCTAGAGTGTTTCCACGGGCGAGCGCGGAAGAGTTAGTCCGCGCCTGTCTGATACAAGTCTCAAGAAGAGCGTTGGTGATGCCCCAAACGGCCCACACGGCGAATATGCGGCATCGTGTGCAAGTGGAGAGTTGATGTCAAAGTTGCTCCCTTGCTTTTTTTCCCGCTTGATTGCCGAATCGGCATGTTCCTTTGTCCTGGGTAACCAAGCCGGGCTATCTTAACTCCAGTCGGGCAGACTTGCACTCGTTTCCTGCTGTTCCGAACAACTCAGTACCTGTCGGCCGAAGACTCCGGCACACACCCCGTAAAACAGCGCCGTTTTGCTGTCCTTTGTTCGACGCACGCCCGAGGTCCACCCTCGTTGACCTTCCAAACAGCCTCAAGACCTGAAGCACAGCCCGCTGTATCGACCAACTAGCGAAATTCCGCTGTAGTAGATACTCTAGCTGCAGCACTAGATATTCACATGCGATTCGACGGCGCGGCGTGCATCTACCATGCCGCGCAAGGCTCAAACGCTCGGCATCACAACAAAGCCACAGCAGGTAAGATACAAGAAACAGAAGCGGGAACGCACATGGCACGCTAGCAAGATCAGCACTAGAGGGTCGGGAAGAACAGTTCCACGCGAATGATAAACGAGGGAGACGCTCAAGTCGGGCTCCACACTCGTCTCTAGTTCCATTGAACCGGAAAGGGCGTTGTGCCTCACTCATGCAATGTCATGCACCGACGAGCCATCGCCTGACCTGACTTTGGGCCTGAATGTGGTCTCCTCTTTACCGCTACTCATCGCACACCTGGCGCGCTTGTCGTAACAAAGACGATCCCAAGCTACGAGCCGTGTGGAAACAAACCATCCAGTATACGAGCGAACCATGGAAACAAATCTGACATGCGGCAAGCCACCGAAAGAGACTTCCCCGTGTCATGGCATTGGCATTGGCATGGGCGTATCGTTGGGTCTCTCCGAACGACAATCGGACCCTGAACATCCATCATCCCACCTATCTTGCATGCGCATCGTCGATATGACCCCTCCGTCCGGCTTCTGTCTCCGCTCCGCTCCCATCGCACCCCCCAACCTTCCATCATATGACGACGTACCAAGACCGCCCGGGCAGCAACGTCGACACTTTCATACCAGCGAATCGCTCCAAATGCCCAATGGAATGCGGAAAAAACACGCTTTGAACCAAGCAATAGATAGCGGTGTGTAACCGGATCCAACTCCGCAGGCACCTCCTCAATCAACCTGCATAGCCCACATCATCTCTCGTGACGAGGCGGGGAGGGGCGCTTACCATCACAAACGGTCCGATCGCAGGTCCCGCTCTCCAAGCAGAAAGGAAAAGCGAGAAAAACCGCCTTTGGATGCATTTGTCGTGCATGTAACTTCGCAATCTAAATCCATTAACTTGGCCGAGAGAGCAAGCAATCTATCTTGGATTTTCTCCTGCCCTCTCGCGCGCTACATACGGAAGGCGTACCGAAACGACGTGATTCGCTGCCCTCTTTTTAATTTCTCCTCTTTCTTTTTCTTTTTTTCGCTTCCCTTATCACGAGAGAAAGAAGCGAGGCTAGCACATGTCCATCACCATCACAACATGAGCATGGGCGGTCGTCAGAAATGCCAATGTAGGTAAGCACGTGTACTTTGGCGGACGCAGGGTAAACGCATGTACCACGGCCATGTAAGATTTTGGAAAGAAGGTGAAATGCTCAACATGGGTCATGCCGGTTGTGTCGTGTTTCTGCGAGTTGCCGGTGAGACCATTGGTGCGGGAGAGGGAGGACAGAGCGTCGGTGTTGCAAAGTTTGGCACCCTGGACGCAATGAGGTCAGAATCGTAAGATGTTTACCATAAGACGGGCGGACGTCGGTGCTTGGGGGATGGGCGTACGGCGTATGCTCATTACGCGGTTTCGTTACCTGTAGCCCCAGGTTCGCGAGATGATCCTGTAGATGGGGGTGACAGCATGTCAAACCTGGGTTTGCTCGGGCTTGGGTCGCAATTAAGCTTTTGGGTAAGCGGCGTCCAATTGGGAATTGGCCGGTCCGGATGTTGTTCCTGGCCTCTGGGAGTCGGTATCGCTCACGGTATGACGGCCTTGTGCTTCACACATGCAGTCTGGGGAGCGCTTGGCTTGGGGGTCGGACAATAGCGTATTTGGCTCTCAAACTACCTCTTTCGGTAGCCTTGTGCTCTACTCTTGTCTATCCGTGGTCAGGCCCGATTAGTATCCCGCAGAATATCCCGACTATGTCCACCAGTAGGAGGCTTTGCGCATAAAGGCCTCAGTTTGGAGTGTACGGAGTGTTCTCCTAGACATTCTACGGATACATGGTGTGCTATGACGCGATGGAGCTAGTGAGGCGCGTTATCAAGATCGAGCATTGTCGCACCCTCTCGAGGTCCATGGATAGCAAGTAAGCAGGCAACATCGCGTGTAACACATCTTGTCACGCGTACACCTAGGGAAAGAAGTGGAAACATCTTGTGTATTCTATATACAAGTTGACTGTGACTTGGAACTAGGAAATCGTAGTATGCACGGACTTCGCTGTACAAGTTCCTCACAGACTATCCTTGCAACCTAGATGTGAAACGAACTGTATTCACACAGATGGCGTGTAGCTTGTCACGATAACCGACTGCTTCAATGCACATGACTCGATGTTTCAGCGACTGCTTCTGCCCAAGTAGATTTAGGCGGCGCAGCCTCCGAAGATACGTGGGATCGATCAATTCGCGGAGTCATAACTCCCTCCTCTTCAGATGAATCTCAGGCGTTCATTCGCTGTCACTGGGAATGTAGATGACTTCGTCATCTCCGTCTGGGATACTAGGCTCTCCACGTCGCCT